GGGGTGGTGTTGCAACCTCCCCATCGACCCTGCCTTGAGTGTGACAGGGCGGTGCACCCCCCCCACAATCGACCCTACCCTGAGCGTGACTGAGGGTGGCATCACCACCTCCCGATCCGCCCTGCTCTGTGCATGACAGGGGCAGCGCCCCAACTCCCCAATCTGCCTTACTCTGAGCCCGACCAGGGGCTGCAGGGCAGGCACCTAGGGATTGGGCCTGCCCTCTGCCACCCGGAAGTGGGCCTAAGCCAGCAGGTCGTTATCTCCCGAGGGGTCCCAGACTGTGAGAGGGCACAAGTGGGTCTGAGGGATACGCCACCCCCCAGTGCACAAATTTTTGTGTACCAGGCCTCTAGCATAATAATAAACAACTAGAAACTCTAACAAAATATAAGGTTCTATTCAGAATAGTAAAAAAAGTTTAAAAGTAACCTAGGGCCCTGGCAGGTGTGCTCCGTGGTTAGAGCAACAGCCTGCGCATCGAAGGACCACGGGTTTGATTCTTTTTTTTTTTAATACATCTTTATTTTCTAGATTATTACAGTTGTTCCCCTTTTTCCCCCTATAGCTCCCCTCCACCCAGTTCCCACCCCACCCTCTGCCCTTCCCCCTCCACTGTCCTCATCCATAGGCGTACGCTTTTTGTTGCCGGGTCATACACATGGAAAATGTAGCTATTTCCATCCACGACTGGTCCCTGTGTTCGGCCACACAGGGACCGTCGTAGACTCACAAGGGTCGTCTCAACCTCACAGGGACCGGCGCAGCCTCACAGGGGCCGGCGCAGCCTCGAAGGGGGCACTGCATCCCACGTTGGGGGTGAAGGTGCGAGACAGAAGCTCCCTTTTACTATCTCTCCTGCTGCTCCCTTGCGTATCGCCGATGCTGTAAGTTTCTGAAAGCAGTCTGCAGGTGCTGGACATCATACTTTAACTGGTCAATACGAAGTTTGGCATCTGTCTTTTGTTGGGAGGCTCCTTGCTGGACAAAATCTCCAGGCATTCTTCCCGGCTGAGTATCTGGTATGCTTGCTTGGATTTCATTTTCTACTAAGTGCACAGACTGCTTGCTGCCGTCTCCCGGCATCCCATGTGAGACTGGATCTGATGGACCTGCTTGTGCATTTGTTGGTACAGCGGTTCCATGTTGCCAGCTCAGCCGGTGCCGGCTCAGCCGGTTCCGGCTCCAGCTTCCTCTC